TAGTGACTCTGCTCTTTAGGGCTTCTCCTTTTCGCAGTCAAATTTCTTCATGTTTTTCAATTATTGACTTCTCAATTAAGTTGTATCACAAAACCCTTGGACATAGGAAGGAAAGTGGGTAGGGAATCCCTGTTTCCCCTCTGGTTCACCAGTTCCAGGGTTGCTCTCCAAAGAGGAGGGAGGAGGATGGAGAAGCTTCCATTCCTGGTCTCTGGTGCCTCCCTCCCACCCTAGACCTGTCCTCAGCAGCAGCATGCACTGGGACAGAGGATGAAAGAGGACAAGGGAGCATTTTGACTGCTGCCATCCACTCATTTAAGCTTTCTTCCCATTTTCTTATCCTTTGTCTCACCATCAGCTTCTGCCAAGCCCTCTAAGCTCTGCATCTGCACCCTGAACTTTCTCTCTCACATCTGTGCTCCTGGGGTCCCAGGCCCACTGTCTTCTTTTCCAACTCCCATATACCTGGATATCTCACCATCCTCCTTCCAGCTGCTCAGCAAAGGCACCAGTGAGGGGAGGAGTGTATGTGTCCTCCCATTGGAATTCTGAGCTTATTTTCCTGTAGAAACATTTTCCTCTACCCAAGTGGTTCTATGGTACAATTATTCAGGAAATTTTGGGGTTTTGAATGACTGCACACATAACACAGACTATATGTGGAAATATATTCTAAATTGCAATCAGTTGGTATAACAAACATTTGAAATTCAGTAAATGATGAATTAGGGACAAATACCCATTTTTATCTCCCTCGAAATACTAACCATAACCCTTGACATATGCAAGATGCTCAATAAATAATTGTTGGCTTGAATTACATATGAGTAATCCTTTGAAAACATATTGTGGACAGTGATTTGTATAGTGTTGAATACATAGTAAAAGTTCTGAAGTTTTGTCATGAAAACCATACAGTGATACAGCCACATTAATGTGTATAGCAGCACAATTCACAATAGCTAAATTCTGGAACCAACTCGATGCTCTTCAATAGATGAATGGATAAAGAAACTGTGGTATATATACACAATGGAATATTAGCTTAAAAGGGAATAAATCATGGCATTTGAAGATAAATTGATGGAGAATATCACACTAAGTGAAGTAAGCCAATCCCAAAAAATCAAAGGCCAAATATTTTCTCTGGTAAGTGGATGCTGATCTATAATGGGAGGGCGGGGGTAGTGGAGACCACTGGAGGAATGGAGGAACTTTAGATAGGGCAAAGGGGAGACAGGGGAAGGGAGAGGGTATGGTGGAATGAGATTGATATCATTACCCTAGGTACATGTATGATGACTTGAATGATGTGACTCTATTTTGTGTACAACCAGAGAAATGAAAAATTGTGCTCCATTTGTGTACTATGAATCAGAATGCATTCTGCTGTCATATATAACTAATTAGAACAAATAAATAAATTTAAAAAAACATATTGAGAGAGTTCAAGCAACCCCTGTATATTTTAAAAAATTCATCTGCACTTTGGTTTAAAAATTTTTTAAAAACATATTGGTTGTTATTTAGCTTTTAAAAATAGAACTAGGTAGATCCTTGAAGCTCTCTTTACATTAGGGTAAGACACAGGTAGTCAGACCAAAAAACTGCCTGCCCTCCAAGAAACTGGAAAGACAGTGACAAAGATTGTGTACTATGCTTCCCCGCCTAAACAAAATTTTCAAATTCTACTAGCTTGATATTTTTCACAAAGCTATCCTATTGCAAGAATTAGGAATTTTCAAGGTGACTTTAATATAGGATCTAATAACATTCCTTTATCTAGAAGTTTATAAACCTTAGAGACTGTTTCTAGCTGGAGTTGGCAATTAATAAGACAAAAGGCAGCCACTAGACTTTGTAGTTAAAAACCTCTATAGGCTGGTATATTCATGCCCATCAGAATAATATCCAAACTGAAGAGAGCAAGGCTGGATGCTTTTGGCCACCCCAAAGGGTCTGGGGCTAAATTCAAGACAAGAACAGTTCTTGTTTATGCTTTGAGGCACACATCTCTATGTGTCTCAGGTTACAGCAATGGGGCTAAGGTGATCAGCACTGAGATGGGCCCAATTGAACCTCCAGCATATGGGATATTAGTTGCTGGAAGATGTTGGGGCAGAGGAGGAAGCCTTGGGGCCTCCTGAAGCTGATGGAGATCAACAGTGCCTGACACAGGGCTGTACCTGCTGGGAGCGGGCAGGTTAGTGCAGGCTTCAGGCCCAACAATGTAACAGCCATGTTTTATAGGAGCACCTACCTGTGCCAGGTGCAGTTCTAAACACTTTGTATGCATTACAAACTTATTTAGTATTCACAACATTCTGAAGTGGTTACAAAAGCTGTCTCTGTCTTCTTCTTTTAAACGGAGGAACTGAAGCCCACTGAAGTCTGAGGAACCTTTGCAAGGTCAGCCACTGAGAGAGTTGGACGCTGCGGAGCTGCCATCCAAACTAGAATCCTGCTCCTCCACATAGTCAGGGAGGGCACAGAGAGGAGGCTCCATAGGACACAGTGAAGCGAAGATATTCACCTAGCACCTGATAGAGCAGGATCTAAGACAGACTTGAGCTCTACATAATTCATGCCTCAGACTCTTGCTGTGTACACAAGCCAGGGCATGGAAGTTAAAGCATAGGTTATACATGTATTGTCTTACGTATTGAAAGAGTTCATTTAAATGAACCTATACATTTTATATACTTCACCTGTGCCCTTTCCCCCCTCATTTTGGTTGCTATCTAGTCTTTTAAAAATAGCTTTGCTGAAGTCTAATTGACAAACAGTAAACTGCATATATCTGAAATGTACTATTTGATAAATATGTGAATTTGATAAATATATATAAGCCCCAAATGTTTCCTCCTGCCCCTTCCTCACTGCACTTCTCCATCATCCCCAAGCAACCGACCACTGACATGCTTTTTTGCTTGAAATATTTATAAATGGAATTACACAGTGTGTACTCTTTGTCTTCTTTTAGAAGCATAATTATTTTGAGATTCATCCATGCTATTTGCTGCATGTAGCAATGATTCATTCTTTTTTTTGTTGCTAACTGGTATTCCACAAAAGAAAATAATCAAGATTTTAAAGAGATTTTCTTAAATTCCTAGCATTTTTAAAAATAACTAATAATTTTAGGTATTGTCTATAGGAAATCCTTGCCTAATCTCACATCACACATATTTTCTTCTAAAGGTTTTATAATATTTGGTTGTACATTTAGGTCTCTGGTCCATTTGAGTTAATTGCATATGATGTGCGGTATGGATTGAAACTTATTTATTTATTTTTGCATAAAGACATCCAATTGTTCCAGTATCATTTGTTGAAAAGACTATCTTTTCTCCACCCAATTGCCTTTGCACTTTTGTTGGAAATCAGTTGACCCCATCTATGTGGGTGGGTCTATTTTTGGACACTATTCTCATCCATTGATCTTTAATATCTTTATTATCTTTCCTATGGTGATAAGGGTTGTGTGAACTTACTTTGTTATAGCCCCATGTGAGGAAATGTATCTCCTATTTTAATTTCTACTAAAAATCTCATGAGGTAGACATCCTACCTCATTATTCAGGTGAGGAAGCAGAGAGACTCAGGGAGGTGAAGTTATTTGGGACTATACAGTCATTAAGTGGAGGAATCATGATGTGAATCAGATCTGTCTGGTCCCAAAGGCTGTGCAATTAACCACTTGTAGTAAACAGAATAATGTCCCTCCAAAGTTGTCTATGTCCTTTTGGGGACCTTTTGGGTTGCATTGTGATGCATTTTATTGGTGATAATGCTGAAGTGCTGTCTAGTGTTCCTAAGTGCAAGAAATCTGATATGCCTAATGGAGAAAATACGTGTTAGATAAGCTTCATTCAGGCATGAGTTACAGTATTACTGGTCACATGTTAAATGTTAATGCATTAATGACATATATTAAATGAGGAATCTTTAAACAGAAACACACTTAAAACAAGGTTGTGTATTGACTAGTTGATAAAAATGTAAACAGAGGCTTGAAGGAATCTAATTCTGTATTTCTCCTAGAAACAACATTTGGTATTGGATAAGTCATTATTGAAACAATTTTATAGAATTTTCATGAATAAAGAGTATTAATTTCTGGGTATACATATGCAGTAGTAAAAAGAAAAGTTATCCAGATAGTAGTATTAACTATTCCCACCAGAAATATATGAGTTCCACTTGCTTCACAATTGCCAACAGATGGAACTGTCAGGATTTCTATTCTTACCTTTGAGAAGGAAAGGTAGCATCTGAGGAGGGCAAGAGAGTAGCTTCTAATATGTTGTTTTATTTTTTGACCTGAGAACAACTATGTGAGTGTATTCACTTTAATAATTCATTGAGAGTACATTTACAATTTGTACATTTCAAAATTTAAGTTATATATTCTGATAAAATATTATATTAAAGTAATTGAGTAAAATGTAAAAAAAAAAAAGAGTATTAATTTTGGATTTGGAATGTTCCCCAAAGTCCTATGTGTTAAGACTTAGTCCCCAGCTTGGTACTAATGGGAGATGGTGGAAATTTCAAAAGGTGGAAACTAGTAAGAGGTTTTTAGGCCATTGGGGGTATGCCCTTGAAAGGGACTGTGGGACCTGAGTCCCTTCCTTTTTTTCTCTTTCACCTCCTGGCCATGAGGTAAGCAAGCTGTTTGTTTTGCCATATGTTCTTGTTATGATGTGTCACTGCAAGCCCAAACCAACAAGGCTAACCAGTCAAAACTGTGAGACAAAGCATACATTTCTCTTTATAAGTTGATTATTTCCATTGTGTGTAATAGTGACAGAGAGCTGACAAACACGTCTATACTTTAACTTGACAGTTACACATGCTAGGAAGAAAAGGCCTCTTGAGATGGAATTGGAGTCTAGATCTCAGTGATACAAAGACAGGTGCATAGAAATGTGAGAGCTCTTTCCCTATCCATATAACCAAAAGCCAAATCTTCATCTAAATCAAATCTGAAAGTGAGGTTTCTCCTCTACTTCCCTGAAAAAGTCCTGTTGGTATAAGATTATTTAGCCCTTAAAAGAAAGAATGTCATTAGTTTTGTTGTTTAAGTTCTAGTTCATTTCCTTGAAAGCCAACCCCTTTCCTTGAAATAGTGAAATCTATGAAGGACAGACAAATGATGCTTATGAACCAGATTTTGAAAAATACTATTTTGATAAAAGTTATAATATGCAGACTTAAAATACTTCATAATTACAAAAGATCTTTCAATAATCACAAAATATATTTTTAAAGGTCTTCTTGGTCCCAGTCTATTTCTTAGTTTGAAATTCTGTTTTCATTTCTTATTTTTTTATTTTTTATTTTTTTCATTTTATATTCTAAATCACATGGTATAATGGTAGCCTTTGGACATTTTGATGGATCAATTCAATATGTAATAAATATTCTTTAAAAAATATCTTTAAAAAATTTGTTTATTTATATGTGATAGTGGAATGCATTACAATTCTTATTACACATATAGAGAACAATTTTTTCATATATCTGTTTGTATATACAGTATATTCACACCAATTCATGTCTTCATACCTATACTTTGGATAATAATGATCATCACATTCCACCATCATTAATAACCCCATGCCCCCTCCCTTCCCCTCTCACCCCTCTGCCATATTTAAAGTTCGTCTATTCCTCCCATGCTCCCTCTCCCTATCGCACTGTGAGTCAGTCTCCTTATACCAAAGAAAACATTCGGTATTTGTTTTTTTGGGATTGGCTAACTTCACTTAGCATTATCTTCTCTAACTCCACCCATTTTAAAAATGTCTTTAATTAATTTACTTTTATGTGGGTCTGAGGATTGAACCTAGTACCTCAAACATGCTAGGTAAAATCTCTCCCACTGAGCCACAACCCCAGCCCCAATATATAATATTTGTGCTTGCTTATTGTATATTAAAATATTATAAAACTGGGACATAAATACTAAATTATATTTCTACTTACCCATGCTCTCCATATTTAATGGTTCCTCTTCTTCAGTATCTAGAATATAATAAAATGATATCACATGTACATTTTTCAATCAAGTAAATATCTTAGTTTATTGTAACCTTTTGCAAAACGTTATAATTAAGAGCATAATTACAAATATACAATGAAGACTTAAACTGTCTTATGAATAATTATAGAAAAATCTGAGTAATTGCTTTTCTCAAAGTTATTGCTTAGTGATATACTTTCTACAGCATTCATCGTATGTATGGTATTTAATTGATAGTGAAACAAAATGAATCCAAAGTAAAAATTAATCCCCAAATATTTAATTCTGCATGTGTTTGACTTTATGGCAGCAAAAATATTTCATTTTGCTTGATACATGAAAACAATCATTTTGGCTGCTAATATATATAGAAGAAACACAAATCCCCTTTGAATGAAAAATAATCTTACCAGGTAATGGTTTATGTTTTTTTTTGCCACGTTTCCCACCACCTGGGCTCTTTCCTCTTTGAGCTTTTGGAGCCATGGTTCTGATGTAGGCTGCTGAAAGAGAGATTATCATTAGTAAATTTTAGCTTACGATTTCAAATATTAAGCATTATCATTTTGTGAACATAATAATATGTTTTCTAAACTTTTCCCTCGACTAAATCAACATGTATTTTCAGTGGAGTAGATGTTCTGTGACCAATGGTTTATTGTGAAAACAATCTTGCTGATAATATCTTGTTCCAATGGAGCCATTCAGCTGAAGCACAAGATGGTGACCTGCCAAAATTTCAAAGTTTCCGCAGAGGCCCTGCCATGGAAGTGCGACAGAGGGCAATGGATCCCCTGCTTTTCACTACTGTTTCCACCCCAGGTGGTTGATCTCTTGCTGCCTTGTGCTGGGATCCAGCACAGGTGCCCCAACTACAAAGATGAGCTTAAAGTCTGCTGGGAAGGACAGGCCCACAATGTGCATATATGTACATAATTGTTAAATAAACAGTTTAAGTTGTACATTGGCCTTAGCATGTGAGCATATAACCACTAAAGTCTCATTTATACTGTCAGAGGCTGCCTCTGGATGTTTTCCGTGGAGTTGCTTATCGGTTTTGACAAGATATAACACTAATCAAGGTCATTACCATCACAAAAAAAATCCCCATGTTCTCCAAGATGCCTGCCTTACCCATTCGTATTTAATGGCTAGGAGTGTGGTTTCAGGAGTTTAGCCAGCAGTCTTTAAAAACAGGCTCTACTTTTAACCAGCTGAGTAACCCTAGGCAAATTACTTAACTTCTCAGTTTATATTCATCTCTTCAATGGTTAAAACAATGACCTTCCTCACAGGGAGTCCGTGAAGACTTAAGATTAATCAAAATCTCATCATCTTCAACTCAGTTATCTCAGATTGGTTTGTTTCATTTTAACAAATTAACACAGTTTGACTATTACGTCATAACCTATGATCAAAGAAAATCACAAGTCTTTTATTAAAACCTAGTTTCCGGATTACAAAAATCCTGACCCAAAATATGGGTGCCTATAAATATCTTTATCTTTAGATTTTTGCCCAATAAGTTTTTCAAATGGTAATAATGATAGCTTGTGGTTGTGGAGCGCTTACTATGTGCAAGGTATGCTTTTAAGCAATTCATGGGTACTTTTAACTTAATCTTAACCTCATTTTATTATTACTGCTATCTTTATCTCCACTTTATGATGAGAAAAGAGGCCCTGAGAGGTTCAGTGACTTTGCTGAGGGGACACAGAGAGCAGTGGGTCAGGCAGTGAGCCCTTACAGTACAGCTATAGGGCCACGCTCTCTCTGTAATAAACTGTCCCTCAGACTGGAAAACGTTTGTTATGTTTCATTACAAATAAAACTATTTGTTGGGTACAGTGGCACACACCATAATCCCAGTGACTCAGGAGGCTGAGGCAGGAGGATGGCATGTTTTAGGGCAGCCTCATCAACTTAGAAAGACTGTCTCAAAAGAAAAAAAGAAAAAAAGGACTGAAGATGTGGCTCAGTGACAGACCTTGGTTCAGTCTTCAGTACTACAAAAACAACAAAATAAAACAAAAACAAATGAAATTATTTAAAATCATTGTCTTCATATAGAAAGGCACAATTTATGATTTAATCACCACTATATTATTATGATGTAGAAATCTGTAATTTTTAAATATTTTGCAAAATAAAAAAAAAGCTCAGCTTCAACTTTTCAGACTAAATATTCTCTATCCGACTTGTCAGTTTTAGCATAATTTCAGGCCTTGGACCTAGCTCTTTTTTGTAAAGATTTCTTTTCAGTGTACTTATCAATTCCTTATCTCCATTTTCTATTTCAGGAGCATTTGGCTTAAAATGCACACACAAAGAGTGAACACTACCTAGCCTCATCTTGCACACCACTCACTGGCATGTGTGCATGCACACATACACATACACACACACATACACACACAAATACACACCACCATCACCACTATTCATTCTCATATTATCTATTGACTAGGATGGACAAGGGGTTATCCTAGGTATTAGGGAAACAGCATTGGACAAAATAGGCAAAATAGGGGTAAAAAATGCTTGCCCTGATAAAGCTTGCATTTTAGGATGAGACAGAAAACGAAAAAATAAAGGAGCACAATAGTGAGTATCTAGGTGGTGATAGTTGCTAAGAGGAAGAATAAAGTAGGAAAGGGAAAGAAGTGCAGAAGTGGTGCAGCTATGATTTTACAATCCCTGACACGAGAGGCCTCACTACGTGTCACCAGAGTAAAGTCCCAGAGAATGGAGGAAGCCTGTTAAGACTGCAGCAAGGAGAGGGCTAAAGCAGGAATCCAAATGAGAGACAATCAACAATCCATGGAAGAGATGATTGCAGCACAGATCAGGGAAAAAGTGGAATGGATAAAAACGGTTGGGTCAACCTGGTGGTGTGTCTCTGTAGTTCTAGCTACTCTGAGGGCTGAGGCAGGAAAATCTCTTTGAGGTTAGGAGTTCAAGGCAAACTTGAGACTAGGAATTTGGGGCCAGCATGGGCAGTATAGCAAGACCCCATTTCCTAAAATAAAATCATAACTTGGAGTCTAGTTGTATTATTTAGATGGAGCTAATGAGATTTGCTGATGACTTGATGTAGGGTCTGAGAGAGGAAGGGATAAAGGATGATTTCAGTGAATTTTGCCTAAGAAATTGAAGGCATGGGGTTGCTATTTATTGATATAGGGAATATTAGGAGTTCGATTGAGGGCATGTGAAATTAGTCTCTGTAAACTGTGAAGATGGGGATTATGTCTTTATCTCCATTGACATAACCCCTATAACTAGCATAGTGAACATATTAGAAAAATTGTTTTAAAAAGTTGAGTTAATCATTGCTTGGTTTCCTTTTCCCTTCTGCCAGTCTTTGTGAGTCTCCAGTCTGGACAAAAGGTTTTTTTGCCAAATGGTCCATGGAATTTCTAGTATGCATGCTGTATTAGTTTTCTATTGCTGCCATAACAAATTATCATAAGCTTGATGACTTTAAACAACACAAATTTATTTTCATACATCACTATAGATCAGAAGAAGTCTGACCAAGATCTGAAGTATTAAATTTGAATTATATAACAGTTTAATAACATCATTCCCTAAAATACTCAAGGTAAACAGGTGTCCATTTCTTTTCAAATGCTGCTATTAAGTAATCTGTGTACTTTGATTGAATTTCAATTTTTGTAGAGGGAGAAACAAAGTCAGTTTTCCAGCAGTAAATTGACAAAATTGGAAGACATTATAAATGCATGCTGCCTTACCAGAATAGCTCATTTATTACTTTCACAAATATTAATTAACTTCTGTGTCTAAATTATAGACTAGTGACCAAGGGTAAAGGGAGAATCAGGTTGTTCTGTAGTCGTTCAGAGGCCGTAAGCCTTTTAAATTAAATAGCAACATAAAAAGCAATGTCTTAGTTTCTAAATAGAAAGTTCATTAGCTGAAATTAGACTGGTGAATATAGTCAAAACTGGAAAGAAAATGATAACTTTGGTAGTAGCTACCTTACAATGAACTTATGTTTCAGGGAAAATCTCATAGTTTATTTTAGTAATTACAAATAATAAAAACCCCACCAATATTATATCTAGAAAACAAATCACTTTTGATTGGAGGTACCTATAAAAAATGAATAATACTGTCTTCATACTTTTAATAAGTACACTTATTTCAGGTTTATTTTTATAAATATTTTTTAAAAACTCAAATAAAAAATACTGCTTTTATAGTTGGGCTTACTGAAGTTTTTCATAAAAGTGCATATTTTATACACTGAAATGCGATATAATACTTTTCAAATTTTATTTTTCCATTAAATTGATTATAAAAAGATTATGAACACATTTTCAATATAATTTATTGCTTTACTGAGATTACTCTGAAATGTTCACATTTTTTCTGTTTCCAGCTGAAATTGATTTGTATTTACTAATAATAACAGAAGAGATATCTCATTTCATCTACTCCCTAAAGTAAAGGTTATGTACAGGGATTTGTGTTATGATTGGTTTTCAAAGCATTAGAGCTGACTGGATTTCAACCAGAAATTATAGAAGGTAACACTGAGAAATGTTAAGCATTTCGTTAAAAAATATTTTTGACGTTTTCGTTAAAAAATATTTTTGACGTTTGAACCACTCATAGTCATTATAAATAATCCATCCATTCTAGAGTACTTTCTTGCTACCAAGGTACCAAGGTCACATTGTCTATCATCTAGGTTAACAGCCACAGACTTCAGAAGCTGACGAACTGGGTATTGGATGAGTCCTCCAGAAAGTGGATCAAAACCCAAGATGGTGCTCTACTGATTTCAGAGTTGTCCTTGACGTGGTTCCAAGCTAACTCTCCAGACTTGTCCATAACTATATCCTCTTGAGATGCTTCTATTATTTAGGAGGATAACTACTACAGATGAAGGAATATGTGGTGCAAATTACAACTGACATAGCACAGTGACTTAAATAGCCACAATTTCTTCTTTACCTTCTTGGTGTATACACACAAGCTGTTTGCTTATGCCAATTTTTTGGCCATATTTATTTGTGGCCTGTTGCCAGCAGGTCTTGATTTGAAAAGACCTGTAGCAATAGCATCTTTTCTTCACCTAGGTCCTCAGAAACTTTACCTTTCTGATTCTTCTTCAATTAGCTGACCTTATCTAAGGTCATTAGCCTCTCATCCCAAAGTATTTATAAACTTATCATGCTTGTCCCCCATCTTTTATGTTTTTAAACAGATATTTACAATAAAATTTGAGACTAACATCTTGGGAATTTGGTAAATGTGTCTCCAACAACTGCTTGTCAGTAAATCTCCATTAAGACCCTGATTAGTCTCCAGGGTTCTCCTGGGCCTTTCAGCTGTCTTCTGACAAGTACAAAACATGCACCCCTCGGAGATAACTTGTTTCCTTTGTCTACTACTCTTGTTTCTTCCCCTCCGTATCTACTTTGCTTTCTTTCCGAGACTGAATATTCACTCATTTAAGTAGATGCTATCTTAACACTTTATTCTTTGAAATGTCCTAGCACCCTTCAGTGCTAGGGCTCATTAAAATGTCTCCTGAATTCTCAGCCCTCCTTTTCCACAGCTTCCTCTGGTTCCTGCCTTCAACCTGTCTTCCTAGTCCAGAGCTCCTTTTCTATTTTGTGCCATAAATCCCTTTGGCAGCATGGTAAAGCTCATATATCAGATAAAAATGTGAGGTTACAAGAGAGATAGACTATAGTGAAATCCAGCCATTAATATATTTTGAAAAACTATGCTACGTTAATTCATGAGCTTCTTTATTAATACATTAAATAAGATCAAGCAGTGAGTCTAACAACCACCTTAATTTTGGAGGTTGTAATGAGCATAAATAATATATCTGTAACATCTATAATATAATATGAAAAGAGGTATGATTTATTTTTGTGACAAAATTACAGTTCCTGCTATTACTACTGTGGTTTGTTACCAAATGAATACATTTAAGTTAGTGAAAATAAACATATAATTTTTTAATTTTATATATATTTATTTTTAAAATTCCTTCTTTTTTTTTTGTTTTTTTTTTTTGGTACTGGGTATTGAATGCAGGGGCACTTGACCACTGAGCCACATTCCCAGCCCTATTTTGTATTTTATTTAGAGGCAGGGTCTCACTGAGTTGCTTAAGTGCCTCGCTTTTGCTGAGGCTGGCTTTGAGCTTGTAATCCTCCTGTCTCAGCCTCCCAAACTGCTGGG